AGTCCCTCGATGATGTCTCCCACATAATTTATCATCTCGTCCAATTCGATGGCTGATCTCTTTCTAGATGGAGTGGTTTTCAGCATTTTTTGTAAATGTGGATTGACTGCTAATCTAGGACTATCAAACTTATCTATCAATTTCTTCCATGCTATGTTGAGGGAAGTATTTTGTAATGATAGTCTAGATATCATTTTAAATGCCGGTCCTTCTAGAGTGGAACGCAAATAATGAAACTTTTGTGCATCACTTAACTTACTGCTTTTTAATACAAGTGATTCAAACAGGTCCTTGAATGATGGCCAGGCCATGTAATCTCCTGAGAATTTGGGAATGGGAATGTCAGGAAGACGGTTTATTTCCTTTGTTCTTCCTTCCGTTACTGAAGTCTCTTCTACCTTGTTCACTGTTTTCGGTGGCACATTGAGTTCACGATACAATTTCCTTATCTTACTTTGTGCTTCAATGTGGCACTGGATCTCTTCCCTTTGTGCATTTTGCGTGAAATAATCATGTGTGATAAAAGTCGATGGCCAAGTTGTTTCAATATACTGATGTTCCTTATTGAACATTTTGTGAATTTCATCAATGGCTTCATTTATGCATATTATTTCATCAATGTCTGCCTCTAAGTGAGATGTGGGAAGACTTTCTATCAATGTTTTGATAATTGCTATCCGATTAAACTGTCCTGATGCCTTGAACATATGTTCGTTGGATAGTCTTTCCTTGGTAGCACTACGAGTGACTCTTGCTCCACTCGCAATTGATGCTGCCATTCATCACTGCTTTCCCTTGCTTGTTTAGTGATGTATATAATTAAATCTTGGATAATATGGATGGTTAAGATGTTTTTCTATTACTTGATAAATCGTTCTCTTAAGTGTGTCAATACTAACCAATACACCAACCTTCACTAATCCGGCTCGAAGGACCAAATGTTCGGAAAATAATCCCACAATTTGACTAGTCAGCCAAACGTGCAATAATTAACGTAGAACAATAAAACCCACTAAATGTTCGGAAAATAATTCCACAATTTAACTCGTCAGCCAAACGTGCAATAATTAACTTAGAAGAAAAAACCCACTAGATGTTAATACAATTTTCACAATATTACTTGCCAGATGTTTTATTGCATTAAAAAAGAGAATTTCTCATTCTCAAACAGACTGACAAAAAAAGGAAAGGGTTTCGCATTCTCGAACAGCGTTTGTTAAAAAATATATGTAAAATTGTTTAAATGTTTTGAATTCGCAACAGTCTGAATTAAATAAAACAATAAATTAAATTTTTGTATGATTTTGATGTATAATATTAAACTATAATAAGTAGGTTTATTATCATAGCTCATTATTAGATTTTTTTTAATTAAGTACTAAAACTATTTTTCTTAGAATATATGAATAATTGTTAAAAAAAGATGAAAGCACCAATAAGCAACGTAATAATATATTGTAAGGAAAATAAAATAGCAACTGAGAGAGAGAGAGAGAGAGAGAGAGAGCAAAACAAAGCTAATTCAAGGAAATATATGTATGATATTAATCAACGTTATTAATCAATGTTTATAATTATTTATAATTTAAATATTTATAACACGCTTGTAAAAATCATTAATCCTTTAAAAATATCTCTTTTTTTTTTTTTTTTTTTTTTTATAAATAAATACACATTTTATTATAATTGTTGTTGTTTATATTTTGTTGTTCTATATTTAATATTACTATTTAATACATTTTATTATCTTTTCTTAATATTTTAATCAATAATTGATATTGTGCAATCATAAAATTATTAACAGTTAGAAATGAATTTTATAATTATCAGCTATAAATGTATTTTGGGTGGATTAAACATCTTATGAAAGTAAAATAACTTCCTACCTCTAAATCATCTGGATGACTAATAAGTATTAAAGGTTTAAAACCTAACCAAAATTTATAAATTGGTTTGTAAATTTCACTCCAATATCGTAATTTAGCATTTATTTCAGCTGAAAATAAAGGCGTTTTCAATTTAGATAATATATATTATAATTATCAATGGGTGTTAACAATCATGATATTAGGAAAATATTTACTGTAAATTCTATATATATCATCATAGTTTCTTAACGTTGATAAAAAATTCTTTTGAAATATTAAAATTTAAGTATTATTTTTTCAAAATTGAGTAGATTATAACAGTAATTAGTAATATCAATTATTAATATTTAGATGAAAATAATTATAGCAATATGCTTTAATGCATTAATTAACTATTAGCAATCATATCAGCCCTTTTAAAATTAAATATTACAATTTGTTACATGTAATGAAATGTGTAAAAAGTATATGCGTGTGCAAGCACACACACACAAGCGCGCGCGCGCACACAAATCTAGTATAGTAAATGAGTTTATAAAATTGTATGAGATTTATTTTATACTAACTAGGAGTTGTGTGTAGTTCGAACATACTCCCAAAAATAGGTATGTGCCTAGGCCCCGATAATTTATTAATTAATCTGCCTTCTCTATTGTAATGCAAATTCAAATAATAACACCAAAATCCTAATATAATAAGTATAACGAAAAATAAAAAGTACACCATGATAATAATATTCTTTTCACTTTCAATAAAGTCAATATACTTGTGCAATTAATATGGTTAATAGACGAAGTGTCGTATATGAATGTGAGAATTGAAATTATATTTATCTGTCAACAAGACGTACACTTTACCTTGAACCTACATGGTTCCCTCTCCACTCAGTAAGATTCATCTATCTTCGTTCGGTATTATTTATCAATTATGTATGTAATAACAAATTGAAGGAGAATTGAAGTGTCATGATTATGCGCTAGTATTAAGAAAATTCAAAAGCATTAATTAATGAAGTTTTTATTGAATGAATAATAAAGCATTTAAATGGTAGTTTTATGATTAATATAATCATTTTAAAATGAAGAATCTGTACTAGTGTGATAAAAATTTATAGAACATCGTTTGATTAGCATTTCAATTAACAAACATTAAATATACTATAATGATATAATAAACTAAAATTAAATATACAAAAATTAAATATAATTAAATCTAATTATATTTCAAATTTTTAAAAATTCTTATTGACAGTTAATATATTTTTATTATTTATTAGAACCATTCCGATGATAAAGATTATATTATTTTTATATATTAATCGAGAGATTTATTTCGCTGCACACGCTATTTACGAAAATTCTATACTGTTATAAAACTACAAATCATCAAAGATTATGAAATAAATACAAAATTTTATCAGTTTAATAGTAAAAAAATAACAAGTTTTGTATAAGATGTTATCAAACTTTATGATACATGAAGATGTATTATATAATGAAGAAGACAATATATTTTCCTATTAATGTATATTATACAAGAGTTGCAATGCAATTAAATTTATAAATATTAGAGAAGAAAAACATCAGATTGAAATCATAATAATAAATTGGAAAAAAGTGATTGATATTAATATTAATGAATTTGGAAAAACTTTTATCTTAAAATTATATGATTCATTGTCAACAATGACACTTTGAGTTTGATTTCCATTTTGTATAATGTCATAGAAAATAATAGTCGACAATTAAAGGCATATTCTGTTGTCATTTTGGAATAGATATGTAATTTTTATTGACAACAAATTACTTTGAATTTGTATTATTTTTATTGTTTCTATATAATTAAAAAATAAAGCAATTAATAGTATCCTAAAAAATGGTTAAGGAAGTTCATATTAAATTTACATAATTTTTATGTTTTTGATAATAAATTATTATTATGTTTGTAAAAATATAAAATTCATTTTTATATAAATAGAGAGATATTTATCTGAATAAAAATTAGACTATTCTTATGATATATTAAAAAAGACATAAAATAAATAATAAATTTCTAATATCGAATATATATTGAAAAGTATTAATAATTATGCCTCTTGGATATGATGCTTATGATTAATTTCCTTTTATAATTTGCAAGTGACAATTAAAAATACCAACGTAGATTGGAGTAGACAAAATTTATTGCACGTGTGATGATAATTCATTAATATCAAAAGATTTTTATAAATGCGTCTTAAGAAACTATACGAAATTCCATTTTACTTTATATTCAAACAAAATGGAGTTGGTTATTTAAATAACACAGCCATAGTTAACAATCTACTTTACATATTTAAAATTAAATTATTTTAATGTATATTATAAGAATATGTTTGAATGCGCGAATTTATATATATATATATATATGTGTCTGTTCCATAATTATTGTTTCGATCTTTCAATAGATTATGAGTTGATAAGAAAAAAAAAGAGATCTTTTAATAGATTATAAATGTTCAGAGTTTATGTATTATTGAATAAAATTACTATATTATAAGTAATTGAAAATTAGATGAAATTAAAAAAAAAAGATTCGTATCGTATAATACGAATACAAAAATTATGTATCTTTGTTTGAATATAATTAACATTGTTACAAATATAAAATTAATATTAATAACATGAATAAATCCAATGTAAAGTTACAATAATTAATAAAATAACTAACATAAGATAAACGTGAAAGCTTGATTAAATCTAATAACAGACGATTATTAGATTATAAACATTGAATATTTGGAATATTACAAAATCAGATGTGAAACAGAAAGTGAAATAAAAATTTGTAAATCATATTTTCAAAAGCAATGGTCTCATCGTTAAAACAGAAAGTCGATGAATTTTTACATACAACAAAATATATAAATATATATATATATATATACATTTTTTGTTTTTGTTTTATTGGTATTGTGTACTTGGAATTAACAATGAACTAATGTTGTAAATAGACTAAAACAAATTATTGATATAAGTATATACGGTAATATTATTAAAAAATATTTTAGTACTTGTAACTAATAGAAAGTATAGAACTTGAATATTTGTTAAACTACAATATTCGTCGTAAAAGCATTTAGTAAATAATAATCAAAGATTTACTTTAATTATCATATGTAATCGCTGCAGTATAGTAATATCACACTAATAGTAAAATTACGATTTGAAAGACTATTTGTATTAAAAAATTGTTGTTCAAATTCAACAGTCGACTCGTAGAGAAAAAAAAATGCTTATACATATATTTAATTTAGTTTTAAGTGAGCATATTAATTTGTAGCTCCTAGTATAAAAATAATTAATAACTTTAGTTATTACTAAATTAATATATAAAAAATAAGCAAACTTAATATATAAGAAAATAAGAAATAATAAGTGTAGCTTAATAGTTTAAAAAAAAAAAATAAGCTTAAACATACAGTTAAATGCTGAAAAAAATCTTTTCCAAGAAAAAAAATCTTTCACCAAATTTTTGCAAAGGTTAGGAAAACCGTTATAATTTAATTAAAAAGATATTTCCTTTTAGATCGCTATTACGGATTTTAAAGATTTATGTAGATACGAGGAGAAATAAACTAGAAATAGAATAATAAAGTAAATAAAGTATTAACAAAACAAAACAAAAACAAAAAATTATTCAATAAAAATATGTAATATTAATTGTTTTAGCCATTCAAATTTTAATAATAATTTGTAATAAAGATTCTAGAAAGATATGCTATTCATATAATATTTTTTAAATATATAAAATAAACTAAATGTATGAATAGAAATAATTATGCATGTGTTTATTAACATTAATAAAGCAATCAAGAATTTATTAATAGAAACGAAAACAATATTGTAAAAATATTTATACAGATAGAAAACTAGAGGTTCTATAGTGCACAATTTGTATATTATATGATTAAATAAATATTAAAAAATGCTTGTGTATGACAATTAAATAACGCGTCTCGCATTATTTACACACAACAATACATTTTACAATTGAAATGTTCATTATTCGCCCTCCCAGTCCCAATGAATAAAGCTGCCAGCCAATGCAATCATAAACCCATCAATCATCCTATTATTCCATTACATATTTTAATATTACGTATCGTACAATTTTATTCAATAATTCGTAATTACATTATATTTTTCTACGAAAATAATGTGATTTTACGTTTGTTGTCGGATCTCTACGTTATCGACTAATCTTAAGTTCGCGAGAATTGCTATTCTACTGTTTGGTCCCGTTTACCGGCGCCAATATGAAACGGATAAGACGAAATGTCGATGATGCTAATGGATTTGGCGACGAAACAGTGAGCGAGAGTATTTGTGTCACTAAAAATTAGCAAAGTTTTTTCAGTTTGCTGTGTAAATAAGTAGGTACGTATCGATATTGTTGTGGAATACAATAGATGAGTGAAGTTAAGAGTAGAGGGATATTATAATATATTCGGTTGGAATAATGCTTAAGTTCGAGTTTGTTGACTTAACCTGCAAATAATTATTTTTGTAGATGCTGATTTTTTTTGTAATATTTTTAGAGAATAGAAAATGACAGGTTCGGAGACAGCAGCTACAACTACAAGTACCGAGAAAGCAGCGAATAATCCATTAGAACAGTTTGTCTTGCTGGCAAAGACTGCAAAGGGTGCGGCAGCATTGGAATTAATAAAGCAAGTTGTAGAGACTCCTGGAGTCCATGTATTTGGTGAGCTGTTAGATATGCCTAATATTAAGGAATTAGAAAATGGTCCTCATGCGGTATATTGGAAAACGCTGAATCTCTTTGCTTATGGAACTTACAAGCAATATTTGGAAAATAAAAGTCAACTACTTGAATTAACACCCATTCAGAAAAAGAAACTTCAACATTTGACGATTGTCACATTGGCAACAAAGTCAAAGTGTATACCCTACTCGGTTCTTTTGGAAGAATTGGATATAAAGAATGTCAGAGATTTAGAAGATTTGATTATAGAAGCAGTTTACGCCGATATTATACATGGGAAATTGGATCAAAAGAACTCTCAGTTGGAAGTTGACTACGCTGGCTTGGGACGCGACGTTAGGCCAGGCGATACTGGTGCTGTAGCCGAAACTCTCGCGGAGTGGGGACAAGCATGCAATGCTATTTTAGAATGCATCGAACAGCAAGTTGTGCGAGCGAATGCTGAAAAGCAACGAGCGACCCATCACAAAGAAAAAATACAGCAAGATGTTAGTCTCTTATTTAGTAATGTAGTTTGAGTGTAAAATTAGATGGCAGTATTTGAAATAATTGTATATTTCATATGTAAAGTATTAGATAGATAAATATTGTAATTTTTCTAGCAAACTATTTAACTGAATATAATGAAAAATCATAATAGTAGCATTAAAAAAGTGAGACATTGCAACAAGCTTATAAATAATAATTTTAAGTTTAAAAATGGAAGGAAATAAAACTTCTAACATTAAATTGTAATTCTTGTTATCTTTGGAAATATTACAGATATTATGATAATAGTAAGTACTGTTAAATTTTTACCATACTGTCCAGTAATAATTATTATTGTATAAAAATCTTATTTAATCACATTATAAAATTCTTTAAAATTCCAATGTCTCATTTTTATTTATAACCGAATGGTAAAAATTACAGTATATAATATCAATATCCTGCTCGATCATTTTTAGATTGCAAACATAAAAAAGACCTTAGTCACTCAAACTGGTGCTGCTGGGGTTCAAGAAGCAGATATGGCTGCTGGTGGTTCTGGTACAGGAGGCAGCGAATCTTGTCGAGAAGCTTTGCCCGTTCCACCTGATCCAAAAAAGAAACAACAAAAAGGAAAGGGTATTAGAGGGAGTGGTAAGTTTTGGAAGACTTAAGTAGGTTCTTCGCATTGGTTATGAAACTCATTTATGGTGATCGATATGAAAACATCGACCAAGACATACTGAACTTAGCGAGGGAAACAGGAATTAAGTAATTCAGAGCTTATTTCGACTGCTTAATATACAAGAAAATGCTCGCAAATCCTTGGCAATGCTAATATCCTCTATGATGAATGGTCATTCAAATATATATTTTATATGTGTGTTTAGGATGTATTTAAAAAAACTTTTATAATAAAAGAAAACTGCAGTTAATTATTATGTAGGCTTCAAGAAAGTATTTTGCTTTCAAGAACTGTACAATAATATAGTATATAAAATAATTAAATTTTTTAAAGAAATTTGTAATATAAAGCATGATAAATATTCAACAGTCTAAATAAAATTTATATAGTTAAATTGACTAAATTTAAAAATACGTTATGTAATTAATATCATTACTATTTATGTAGGAAATAAAGTTAACTAATCTTTTCCGTCTTTATGAAATTATTCTCAATATCTCTGCTGTATTTAATTATTTTATCGATGCATTCTATTGGCAAAAATATTTATTCATAATAGATGTATTTTAAAAGAACAAAAAATTATATCTTAAAAATTATGTTATAGTTATTAAGTAAAATAAAATAAGTTTTTTTTACAGAATTGATATTATGCTCATTTTAAAGTCCACTTAAATTTTATAATCCTGTATATAAAAGTTTAGTACATTATTAGACAATTGAGAAAAAAAAATACATTATATATTTTTCTTCTAAGCTTATTGTGCCATATAACGTTAAAGGATATTAAGGAAATGCATATTTTTAAAATAATGATACTCGGTTAGATTAATTAAAGTCTTATAATTATTATTCCTGTAAATTCGTTGAAGATTCACATTTAAAATTTTTTTTTTCAAACTAATAAAGCAGTATATACTTAAACATTCACCAAATGACCTTTACGCAACAATGTCATTTTAACATTTGAAATTAACTAATAATATATACGTATATATATATAATAAAATCACATCATACAATAATTGAATATTTATCGATTTTTTACATAAATTTTTGTATTAAATGCATCTCTTTATTTTAATTTACATGTTTTATTCTGTTTATTTTACATTATCGAAATATTTAATAGTAATTTAAACATATAATTTTTGTCGCAAAATAATTAAATTTTTTAATTAGCATTTTTAAAAAATTATAAAGCGATTACAGTAAATAATTTACTATTAATTTCCAAATTACTTATAAAAGTAATACTTATATTATATTTCTCTATATAATACCGCAAGGACTTTTTACAATCGAGTCACATGAATTTATTTACATTTTCTTAAATAAATTAATTTAATACGTTAGAAGTCATTTTCAAAAGTTATTCAAAAGATCTTAACAATTGAAGCGAAATAATCTATGTTAAAGGCGTTTAAGGTCGAGAGTATAAAGAGAGTATAAAGTATTCATATGGAAATGTAATAATTTAACAATATTTATACTAAATTTTTGTTAAAATAATGTATTTTTAGCCTTTGTATTAAATCAATGTATAGCATATAATATTTTAATGCTATCACAATTATTAATAAAACTTTACATAAAAATAAGAAAATTTGTTTAATATTTACTTAGATTTTGATTAAATTCGCAAGTTACTTATTTGCTTTTACGATTGAAAATTTTTTAATTTATATTATTTTAAAGTCATTATTGCCGAAACTAAGTTGATTTGATAGTACCTTCGACTTATTTTCCGATTCTAATAATATTCAAATTTTATACGAATTGATCGTAGTTGAAGAATATCAATAAGATTTCAATAATTATTTAGTATTTTGCATATCCTGCTCAGTTTTTATTACAGAAAATACAAGAGGTGGTATTAGAATTACACTACGAAAATAATTTTTTTATCGAGTTGAGATCTGACTAGCAGAATCAATGTAGTTATGCTTACTAAACATAAAATGATTAACTTAGATGAAATTGTGGATGTTAATCATTAATTAATAATTATAAAGATATGTCATAATCGGAGTTTATTTTTAAAATAAATAAAAAAAAATTGTATGTATTTGTTTGTTGTACTAATTATAAAATTGTACTAATTATAAAAAAGCATTTGAATAATTTTTATATTTGGTATTATACGAAGATAATCATTTTTTGGAACATTTCTTGATTGAAGATTTTTGTTCTTAAAAGTTTGTTCGAGAATTAAGATAGACGTAATTGAAATTAGCTAGTTTTTAATATTAATATAAATATTTATCTTTATACATGAAACATTCATTACTACATTGATTATGAATCTACTTATTTGTAAAGCGTAAAATTAAAGATTGAATTATTGAAAAAAATATTGTTAAAGTATTCGTCATAGTATTGTTAACTGAATATATTTTATTTTAATAATTTGGAAATATTCAATAATACACTTAGTTTTGTAAAAGAATATAATGTAGAGCAATGAATTTAGAATTGTACAAAAATTTAACATAGAATACGTAATTTATAAAATCATTTAATTGTTTTTTATTAACTTTTCAACATCTAAAAGATCATATGACTTATTAAGTTCATCATTCTATCTTTTCATTAAATTTTAATTCTTAAATAACAATAAATATAGTATAATAATATATAATAATTAATATGTAATTAATATAAATCATTATTTAATAACATTATTTAATGCAAGAAATTTGCATAAGATTTTTTCTTATACACTAATAATAAGTAAAAATATTTACAATAAAGCACTTTCTTTTCATTGAAATGTTATATATGTATAAATATATGGCATAATATAAAATAGTTTATTTAATTATTTAACTACATAAAATTACAACTACACAAGCGAATTCGTAAGAGTTAATGGAATATTTATATACAAAATTATTAGTCATAAGTATTTACAAAGTATCTTACTAAACTATATGCAATAATAAAAGAAAGTTCTTGACTTTATTAGATTTAATATTTAATCAATTTAGATAATATAAAAATAATACAATAGTTACAAAAGTCAAGAGATTTCTTTTCTTAAAGATTCGTCTTTTTATTTAGTTAATTTACTTTAGGCCTGCTTTGAAACATTGCCGTTCGATGCTTTAAAGAAACGTGATTCTTTCATAGTGATATATAAATATAAATATTAATTAAACAATACGACATACAATTTTATGATTTAGCGATCATAAAAAAGTGTATTGTATAAAATTATATTATTTCAAACGAACACTTAAGAAATGATTAGTGAATATTATATGAGATTGCTATACATATACTATATATAACACATACATTAAAAATTGATTATCTATTGTTGACATTTGTGCTTATTGGTTATATGTTTTTAAATAACTTGCAAATATAAATATTTATATTCATTATGATTAATGTTAGTATTGAAACGTCTTAAATATTTGTGCAACTTTAACTAACATTGTATTTATAAAATTTTTCATTTTAAATTGTTAAATTTTATAAAATTATTATACCTTTTAACATATTGTTTATATTATTTTTCAATTTGTCTTATTAACAGTTTATTAAATTATATTAAATTTAAATATTAAATTGTAATAGATTTTCAGTTAAAATATTGAAAATGTAAATAAGTATTTATAGAAATTAATGAACGAAGATCTTATGCAGTATCAGGAGGTATTTGATTATTAATTTTAAACATAAAAATTGCAATATATTTCAAATTAAAATATTTAAAATTCAAATGATCGTATAAATTCATGAATATTTAGTATCGGAAGATATTTAAACCAATATATCGAGCCTACATTCTGTCAAAAATCCACTATTTCTTGATTTTCTAGTTTTAATAAAAATTTAATAACATTTATTTTCGCTTAAATATACGTCTGTTACAATCAATATCTTTTTTATGTTATGTGAACTATATATGCATACATTATAATCTGGATTATACAATTTTAATAGTAATTGCATCTTTATAATGTATTTACAAATATGAAGATGAGTAATTAGGTAAAATTTTATTATGGTAAATTCGCACCATTATTAATATCTGTAGTCATATATAGATGTTTACAATTATTTTTAATGTAATACGAAATATTGGCATTTCGTTATCCTAAACTAGTGGGTTAGTGAGTCTTATTTTGCATTCATTTTAGACATGGGCACCGTCAGTTTTGACATAAACTTTTTATTTTCATTTACAAAATATATGAAAAAGTATGTAAGTTATATCAGTTCAATATTCTATTCTTTGGATTCATACGAATAAGTTTCATGCATATTTAGTAAATAAATTTTTAAATTAAGTATTGATGTACATTTAATTATATTCGAACTGTACTAATCTAAGTCATTGAAAATGCTTTTAGATTAGAGTTTATTATAATAAGCTCAAGTTAATATTTGTTCATACTTTCATATTTTGTCATAATTTTATTGTAAAAAGTAGTGAATAAAATTAAGAACATTAATTAACTATTTTATTAGAATTTAAAATTATCTAAATATAAATATAAATATATATATATATATATATATATATCCTATATTATGTACCATATTTTAAAATCTATAATAAAAACTTGCTTGGATAATTCTATTTGAACTCATTTTAATAATAAAAATTATAATAAAAATTAATAAAAATAAGAAATTTTAAATAAATAAAGATATTGTACTAACTATTGATTAAAATAATTTTTTTTTCTAACAATAGTAATTGAAAGTAGTAATCGAATAAGTCATAGAAGAAATAGTTGAAGAAATAATTAATTGTCATAAATATTTTTAAATTAAAAACTTGTTAAATACTTTTATATAAGAAAATATTTACTGTATTTAAATAATATTTTATAAAATGTTTTATATCGAGGTATCTTATTTTAAACAATTACCGTTAAACATATTGTATTACAGATCAAAAAAACAATCTTTATATTTTTATAACTTTTATTAATAGTTTACTATCACTAACAATTTGAGAACAAAAAGTTTAGATTACATTTACTTAATTTTTGCAACAGAAATCTTATAGACATGAGAATATATATTTTTATGCATTCCCCTATTTGACTTAATTCACTATGGCACCATTAGTATAGGAATGTTTTGACGAATAATATCCAATTTCATTTGAAAAACATATTTGGCATTTTCGGCACATAATTAATTTAAGATTATTATATTATTGTATATTTAAAATAACTATAAATGACTTTAATTGAAATTTAAATTCTTTAAATGTATTAATAATTATCATTAATTTTAATATTTCATAATTATAATAAATATTTATATTATTTTTTTAATTTTTATCATCATACTATATATCGTTTCAGTTTTAACAAATTTAATATTAATTTCAAAATTTAATATAGCTTGATAAAACTTTTCGTAAGAAATTTTTGCATTAGTAATGCGAAAAATATTTAGTGTACTTACAAAAAATATTATAAATAAAAAATTTAAATAAAAATATTATATTTGAAATATAAAACTTTTTAAAATTAAATTAAATACATGGAATAAACTTCTAATTAAAGCAAAAATAATTTCATTAAAATATTGCGGTGCCCAAATCAGTTCTTAATTTTATATTGAAGTTTCGTTTGATATTTACATGCATTATTTGCTTAATATAATGCAGATAAAATCTGCTAATATATAATTCGTAAGTTGTGTGAGATTATTGTTTAATGGATATTTTCGATATTTATTTCAGTGGTGATGTCTTCGTACTATAATGTTATGTCATTTTGGCTTAAGGGTCCGTTTCCTATTTTTGAGTTGTTCACCATTTTCGTCACATTTTCTAAACTTTCATTGCTTATTGTATGTTGTGGTGATATCGAATCGGTTTTATTATTATTATGCTGTGTTTGCGTCGATGCTGAAACAAGTGCGGCTTTTGGTTTGCCGTTCTGCGATTCTCTTGCTGACATTTCATAATCTAATATATTAAAAATAACGTATTAATTAAATGTTACGTAAAGATAATGCTTTATTCATCTGTCACAATAACAAAAGTAATAACTGAAATGACTGCGACTTTTTAGTTTGGTTATCGACTAAACTCATTTGAAATTTAATTATGTAGTATCGTTCTTCAAAAGCATTCATAAAATATGTCAAAAACAGTATAATTTTAATGTATAGTCGTTTTTCTATATTAACAAATTTGTTTATATTTTCTATATGTTTATTATGTGACGTTGCTCATCCTTTAAATAAAATATGCATGTCATTTCTATTTATAAATAGTGTCTCTGTATTTATAAACAGTGATAAAGATGAGACTATCATTTAAAAGAAATTTGTAAGGTTTTTATTAAAATCTTTAAAAATTTAAATACCTATTGTCATTAAAAGAACATCTTCCACTAACATAGAATTAAATCAAAGGATAGTTTCACTTAAGAAAAGATTATGCACTTTTTTATAAAAGTAACAAATTTTTACTTCAGCAATATTTTGTATCCATTAAGGATAAGTAGTTTTAAAATTCATGCTTCTATGAATGAAGTCTTCGTAAAAGTATTATAAATTTTGTGAAACGCAAGCTCATTTTAAAAAATAACATTAGATGAAGGTGCGTGAGAAATACAAGAAAATATAAATAAAAAAAAATAAAAAGGAAGATGGATACACTATGGGTGAACATTCGATACTGAAATTAGCACGCGAACCACACTCATAAATTTATAACTCACATTCGCTTTGTGTGGAGCAATCCATTGTAGTGGTAACGTGCCTCTGTAAAGTTTTGTTCTGATCACAGGTAACCGCTGTTAGAGTGATAGGTGCCATCATGCTCGAAGCATTTGTTCCCGTGACCGCCGAAGTCTTTGTTGTGCTGTGACGATTGGGCATCATACTTTGCCGCACATTTCTCTCTGGTCGAATTAAGATGATGTATAACTGAAAGAAACATTTAAAATAACTTTAAACAATGCGTAGAAAGTTTTTCTAATTCCGTGCTCTTGCCCGAACATGATTGATGCGTCGATGGCTTTTATTATCACATGTGGTGAACATTTAGTTATAGTTGATTTAATAATAAAACTTTTTCTCTGACGTTAGCCTCTATTAATGGAAAATGCATTGCTGTGTCTCGTAGATATAAAATAATTTGAAATTGATTGAAGCTTTTATATTTATATTTTCGTCTGTAAAATAAGTGGATTTAGACGACGTTAATATTACACAACATGAGCAATCTTATGTGAGCTGAATCCTTTAGACAATAAAAAACTAACTATATTTTTAAAGGGCATAAATAATAAATAAGTTATTATTATTATTGCAAATTAGTATTAATAATTTACTTAAAGCTTCTATTTTACCTAAAGTCTGTCGACAATAATATGCTTAAATCTTGTATTTCTAAATTTCATTTTTCATTATAATGGATAATCAGATTTATATTAAGCATGATTGAGCATATGCACTTATGTGACGTGTATGCGCCACATATATGAATTTTCATGTCGTTCCATGCGGTTTACCGTGGAAACGGAAAATCTATGTGACAGAATCTAACGTACGCTTCAAAATAGTAATACTTAAAAAAAAAATAAAAAAAACACTTTTCTTTCAAATAACTTATCATACTTTGACATTTTCTTTAATATTAAGATCTCATTCTAATTGAAATTTTATAAAAAGCAGTCATTTTTATGTTCTAGCAATCAATAAAATAAGGCAGTAAATTAGAATTTACATATACATACATATACATACATAGAAATCTGATAGTTTTAAAATATGGTTCCAATTAATTTGAATATTATTGATAAACATCTTAGTTTTGCAAAAAAGTGATAGATTAGAATTAGATTTAAAAGAATAGTAAGATAAATAGAAGATAGAGAATTAAGGTTAAAATGTCTAATTTAAAAGAATTAAGAATTAAATCTTAAGAATCGATTATTTGACAAGGTTCAGCAATTTTTCTAGCAATATTTTAAAATTTAATTAGTATACAGCCTTTCTATTATGTATAGGCGCATGAAGAAATTGATGGGATATGAAAAGTTAGGAAACTGATAGATATTTATATGCTCCGTTACGTAGATTTAAGAAATTGATAGATAAAAGTTTTATAATAAAAAATTGGAAACATTAAAGGAACATAGTCGAAAACAAGCATTTTGAAAGTTCGTAGAGATGGCTTTGAACAATTTTTTGATAATAATTTTCTATTTTACAATGAGATATACTGAAATATAAATAAAAGAAATTTAATTAAATGGAAGGAAAACAGAATAAAGGATTTTTGAGATAAAAAAAATGTAAATAATGTAAACGCATTTACTTAATTTACATATTAAGTAGGTGATTGAAAATATATTTGGAATCTTTGTTTAATCAATAACTGAAATAATTATAGAGGCATATACAGTAGTATAAATTATTTATAATAAACTACAATATGTTAATTGAACAATACTTCAAGGTACGAGAAACTATCTATTATTAAAGTGCATTAAATAATTTGAAATTGCGTTGTGCCTATATTAAATTTGTTTACATAATTATATAAATGATAATAATTATAATAATTAAGCAAATAGATAAATTAATTATTTCTTAGAAAAATTTTAATTATCTTTATGGAAAAGATTATTTCGAATTTTATTGTAAATTTTTTCTTAATATAAAATTCAAAATTTTCTCTAAATTTCAAACCTGTGACACTAAGAGATCCATTACAGTTTGAAAAGTAATTTTAATCATAAGATATTTGATTTTGCTAGTGGTAAAAGCTAATTATGGCTGAATGACTTTCGATAGATGTCAAGTAAAGCCATGGAAGAAAAATTTAAATTATATCGATAACTATGCAAGATTTATACGCTATTTTCAAATATTATTTACTTAAAGATGCTATTATTTCAATGGAGATATATATATAATTATGTATATAAAATTATTTTGCAATATAAAATTTAAAATAAATGAGTGTATGATTTAATTTAATAGTCTTTTTAGTAATTGTGATAAAATATCAAGTATTTTATGTTAAGAATAAAACTATGTTATCGAGATCATTGATTTAATAGATATTAAAATTTGTTTATATATTATATTTATGCTTTTAACTCTTATAATAATGTACATTACCTCATAATGTTAATTATTAGATTAATTCAGATTAGAACACAATATATAAACATATTAAATGTATATATTTTTTCGAGAGTATATATAGAATTTTCTAATATTACAATGTAATATTATTATGATTGGTAAATAATACTGATCGCTTAACAATGCAAAAAAAATTCTTAACTCGAGACTCGGTCAATACTTTATCTCTATTTACTTTATACCGAATTAACTTCAATTCTTTATTTAGAAGAAATTTTATCGATGCGTACGATATTAAATTACGTTATTAATAATATATATTATATTTATAAACAATAATAAAATGGAAAAAAATTGTCAATATCAAAGTTTCATATATAGAATGTGGTTACGAAAAATATACAAAAATTTATACATTATATAAAGTATATTTGTATTATGTACTATTTTTTAAAATCAATATAATAGTTTTAATATAAAATAATACATATTAATTTGAATTTATTCGAGTAAGATTTTTATTTGAATTTCTTTTTTTCTTTTTTTTTCTTTTTTTCTTTTTAAATTCATATGGCAGTTCATTGGCTACGGTAGTAGTAATATTGTTAAAAGAAAATGTCTTGCATAAAATTAATCAGTTTTTGTATGAAGCAATGTATGAATATATTCATAGATATTTACCATTTAATTATCGAGGATCGTTGCATAGAAACCAATTTTTAATATTTAATTATCAGCCTTATTTTATTAACGAAAATTTTGTATGAAAATAATAAATAAATAATTCCTTTTAATAAGTTATTAAACTTTAAACCCACTTAAATTGATTTCACATAGGCTATAACTACTGCGCGATAATCATCATAAATACTTAGAATATAATACCTAATTATAATTATAGCTATTATCGAGCATGTCAGAGAAAGTTTTTTAGATAAAAGAAAAGTTTGCACCTCTATTGTCAACGTTATTTATTAGAATGTGTAATACATAATATAAGAAAAAACGCCACAAATATGACTGAGGCTGCAAAACTTCTGCAAATTACCAGCTATGTGAGAAAGGTGTCAAATATCTCAGCTTTCAAATTTACCTTTGGACTGAAGAGACATGCAATGGTCACAGAAGCTGAGAGGCTAATAGTTACGGACATCGAGGTAATTCTTAAGGCAACGTGATTGCCCGTTCCAAAGTACAGCGGCACAAAGGCTAGCCATATCACACACGTTGTATACATCGTAAAACCTAAAAATATTTCACGAAAATTGGATAAAATTCTTTACTTGTTCTTCTATAAAAATATAAATCATTATACAGGTGATAATTATTAGGGAATCGCCGTTTATTCACGTTGAGTTAGTGCAAAAGAAAAACGAAACAAAAAAAAAACAATAACATATTTAAGTTTTTCAATTTCAATTTAATATTTTAATTTAAATCTGAGTACATTTAACCTTAATACAGGATATATTATAAATTAAAGTGATTGTAACATGAATATTATTATGATAAAAGTATATGTACTCCTCGGCATGCAAATGTATTCGTTAAATTAAAATTTCCTAAATATTTGTAGTTCATAGATTTTTATTTTATAATAAACCATAACGGGGATAACTTTATTATTACTATAAATTTTAACGAAGAATTAAGCTTTAACGTTTACATTGTCTGCAACTGTAGATAAGAGATTATCATTAATTAATAATCCTATTTATATGAATACAATTTTATTAAAGAAAATTTTAACGAAATTACAGATATTTTATATATTACTTGTAGTGTTCATGAAACAAAACAAAATTATATATCATCATCTATAACTTAACTTATCATTGATCTTTATACTTGGAAGTAATTAATGAATAATAAGTAATAAATATATAAGTAACTAAATGTATGATCTTATTGGAGGTATAAATTTATGCTTATATTATAAATATGAGTGTGGTAATTAGTTAAAATAAATAAATATAATTTATTACACGTTATACTTATTTTATTTCAATATGACAATTTAAATTTAATGCGAATTTTATATTCAATCAAATAAATAACTTGAAAATATTGTAAAAAAAAAGAAAAAAGTTAGAATATAATAATAATATTTACGTGGATTATTCAGTATTAAAATAAAAAATTATTTGAAATTTTGAATATTTAACTTTTACATTATTATTCATTACCCGATATATTTTTTTTAAATTATTTATCTTTAATTATTTTAAAAAGTTTTCAAAAATTTAGTATATATATATATATATATATATATATTATGATTTTTTAAACGATTAAGTGTTTTTACCTGACTGGTATCTAGTATTGGATAATTATTCGGATTTCAAAAATTTTATTTATACTAGCAATAAATAACAACATTAAAGAAAAATTTATTGAATATTGTATTATATTTGGTATCTAGATTGAGAGCGAACATAAATAGTAAGCATTGGTTTTAAAAAAAAATATTTGATAAATTTGGAATACGTATGAATGAAAAATATGTTTGATAAAGTGCATACAAATTCTTATAATTCCCAACATAAATAAAGTATAATTTATTTTTACATATTGATTATATTTACGAATATATACAGTTTATCTTTTAAGAAAGAATATTTTTAATTTTCGAAAAAAATTTAAATAATTCGATACTTTTTAAAAGTTAAAGCCAGAAATAACTACAGATTTTCTTAATATAAGTATTCAAAAAACCAAAAAAATATATATATTAAAAGATGTTGATAATTTATTTGTAAATTCATTAAAGAAAAAAAAGCATAAAGTCTAGTTATTTATAATAAAAGCATAATCGTTTGCGTCAGATAAATTGTATATAATAGAACAAATACAACAAATATATTTATGCACAAATCCATTTTGTACTATATCTTATTTAATTTGTTTTTCATGTTTCTTCTATCAATACGATATTTTACTTTATTTATTTATTTCATTTTTACAAATCCTCCCTTGTTTTATAATAAATACAAATATGAAATTATTTCGACGTTTTATCGCTATAAATTATGATATATATGTTATAGACGGAACAACATTTAATAATTTCAAATGGATTAATATTAACATATAAATTAAATGTTAAATGGAATATTTAATTTTAATATTTTTAAATCATATTTCGGTAGGGGATAATTTAACGTTTTAAATAATACTCGATCACTTAAGGTTTCGCAATTTATTATTTTTATTATATAAATTAAGGTAATTATTTCATATTAACATATTCTAAATATCGATAAAAGTTCTTCCTCTAAACTTGTATTTATTCTTTCCGATGAAATTACGAGCGATAAGGAAATTTTAAACTTAAACGTTCGACGTACGTTCAAGCGATTGAATAAAAAGTCGTCGAACGATAATCTCGTACAACTAGGAGAATCTGCAATTTAATTATCACGTTTCATTATATTTCTTGACATCCTATTACACGGATACGTCAGGCGCAGTTGTTCATCTTAAACCAAAGACCGAGTATACTTTCAAGTATTTCGCTAATTATCCGAATACTCTCTTCCTAAACTTTTTTTTACAACTCTTCACCTACTGATAACCAATCGATTATATGAGATCTATAAATTATAATAGACGAACCAATTCCTTACCGATGTGTTTGCTTTCGTTGAAAGCTTCGGGTATTTTTCTGGTTAGCACAGCATAAACAGTACAGACGATAATGAGGATGATGGGGTAAGTGAAGGCGATCATGTAGCTGGCGTCGATGTAACTGTTACACACTAGCAGATTGTCTTCGCGCGTCGGGTAATGATGCATGGCTTTTGCGGGGTCAATGACCATCCATACGCCATTTATCAGAATCTGTACGAAGACCAACATCGTGCAGATTATTAGTTGAGAGCGGGGTGAAATGAAGGATGGTCTCTTGGCGCTGTGCTTTCCCGCACGGAAAATTCGCGATATTCGATTGGTCTTTGTGAGTAAAGCTGCATAAACAACGGTGAAGCAGAAACCAGCAGCAAACCTGTAAGGTAAAAGAAACTCTCTAATCTTCGATTACACTTAACGTTATTATACTGTTCATCGGTAATGGGGGTCACTGGTTGGGAGCTGAGTATATCGATTCGATTGAAGGAGATTGTAAGTGTTCTGCTCTTACAAATTCATTGTTTGTTTGTGTAGGCGGCGGGATTAAACAGCCTTGTTATCATTTTTTTACTATTGAATTTGTGATTGATGCTATTGGCATGTAAATTACCATCCTCGTTGATTTATCGATTTCAAAGTAATATAACTTCTGACTTTAATTTTAACGATGTCATTGGCTATCTCCACAATGACCAAGTTTCAGACAAACTTTAATAATATGCTTGGGGTGCTTTTAAAATTTATCTTAAAGAAAAATATATATAAAGACTGTAAATATATGTTAAAAAAATTCATAAAATTTATCGAATCTAATAACGATACGAGATGCCTAATAAAACAATATTTTTATAGAAATTCATAAGGAGTGTGATAAATGAAATACATTATGCTGATTTTTTTAAATTAAGCACGAGCATAATTAGATAACGTAAGAAAGACGAGACAAAATTACTTGGAACTTATACATTTTACAATAACTTTTTTCTGAAACACGAAGAATTATTATTATCATTGTTATTATTATTATTATCATCATCATCATCATTATTATTATTATTATTATTATCATTATCATCATCATCATCATCATCATCATCATCGTTATTATTATTGTATAGGTATAGGTATGGGTAAAGGACAATTTACCTCTGAATGCCACAAACAATATCCGTCGGGCGGAGAACAAGTGCGAAAGTGACTAAGTAACAAAGAAGTATTCCCGACAATAAAATGTAAGATAATTCACGTCCAGAAGCTCGCACAATCGGTGTATCGTTATGTTTGAGAAAAACACCACCCACAAAGAACGTTACCTGAAAATACAATTTTATTAAGCGATTAAAGATGTACACATAATGAAAATGATTTATCATAAATTTTTGCTTAACAAGAAAGTTATTATTACCAATATTCCCGTTGATGAGAAAGACATGGCACCAATTGCCCATCCGCTCTCCAACTTTAAAAATTCTTCCGGTATATCTCGACAGTATGAATGAGTATCATCGGGCACAGTCCCTTCGGGACAATCAATACATTGTGTTTCATCGTCTGGTTTTCTTATCTACAGAGAGAAAAGAAATTATTTATCCTAATGAAGAGTTAATTGCTTCAATTGGAATATAGCAAAGTCACGTTATCTAATTTCATTTACTCCGAGGGTTTGAATATTGTTTTACCGGTGGAACTTAGTAGCTGATAAGCAGTTCAAGTAAATAAAAATACATGGCAAAAGAACGTTATAGAAAACAAAAAACAAAAAAACAAAATTTTAAATCGATTGTTTAAAAATTTTCCAACTAATTTAAGTGGTAAAAATTAATAGGCAGATAAATAAAATCTGATCTTGTTATATAATATTTTTTATGATAAAGTAGTTGTTTATTAATGCATTGTATAATTTTATAACAAATTGAAAAATGAATAACAACAATTTATTGCATGTTTAAATTTCAAATACGTGTATATCAAAGATAAAGTATTTTTTCTTTTTAAGTGAATTTTGAATGAAACACATTTAGGTATTATATTATATATTATTATATTATTATTATTATATATTACATACACATTATACATCCTATAAAATATCGAGAATTTCAATACAAACTTTGAAGTTTTTATTTCAATTATTTTATTTTTCATTTAAAAATGTACACTTTTGGCAGTAGGTTATAAGTCCCTAATATTGAATAATGTTGAAAAAATAGTTAAAAATATCACGTTAATTTGATTAAAGTATGTGTCGCCGATTTCAAAGTACCTAGGCAGAAAAAATCGTTACGGAAAGTTTGCCAATAAAATTGAGACATTTTTTATTTAACAATCCATCGATCGAATCCATTTACATCTATACTTTTCTGTGATATAGTTATATGGCCGAACAAAAGTCTCGTTGCAGTTGACTTATATGCCCATTCCCGCCCACAAACAATAACGTAGGTGTTCTTAGTCGCATAAAAGTGGAGGAAAAAAATACGAAAAGCTAAAGAAGTGAAAAAAGCCGACCGATAGAGTTTCAGCGTTTCGTGGTTGATTACGAGTAACAAAAAGAAGTCGATGAAACTCGAAGAGTCCCAGCAGACACAAAGAATGAGTGGAAAGTGAAGAAGAGAAATAAAGAAGGAAATAAAGAAATAAAGAAGGAAATAAAGAAATAAAGAAATAAAGAAATAAAGAAAGAAAGAAATAAAGAAATAAAGAAAGAAAGAGGCTCCATCGACACTCGGTTTCCTCTCTCCTATATTGTTTTTTTACCTTCTCACCCAACATCGACGACATTACCGACCTGATATTGAGTACAATTGAAGCAATGCCAGCAGCAGCTCTCGCCTTCAACGTATTTCTTCGCCTGGCCGAGTTCACAGGGTAACGAGCAAACGCTCTCGGGTGGTGGGGCGTGTTCCAATCGAAATTGGACTTCTACGAGCATATCAGAAAACTATCTTAACGTATAATGTAAAGTGGATGTTCTTTTGTAATTGAGATAACAAGAGCCTAACGCGACCCTTTTTTTATTTTATAAAGCCGTGGAAATTTTTCATAAGTCTATTTTTACAATTACTTCGTATTACATAGACGACGAAACTTTTTTTCTACTTTTCTTCTTCTTCAAATTAACCATAATATTGATTTTTTTTCAAGTATCGAAATGAGAATACAAGCTTAGTACGCATAATAAAAATTCACTAGTATTTATCCAAGTATTTTTTAATTCAGTATTGCAATAAACAATTTTTAAATGACATAAATTGTTTTTGCACATTGCTATATTATTAGAATTGCGGAATGCTATTTATTTCATTCTCGTTATAATATTCATTGGATTGTCAATGCTAAGGGCTTCAATAATGATTGTATAGAGATAATAAATACATACAATAAATACATACAATATTCATAAGTTATGTAAGTACAATCATTGTGACATTTATTTAATTTATACTAATTTATACGCAATTCGAATGTTATTTTATTATTTTATATTAATTATGTCTTTCTTTCTGTATTATTTGTAATGTAAAACTACAAATACTAACCATTTGCATTTTGTTTAATGCAACGGCTTAACAACAATAATAAGAGCGTATTTGAAATGTGTTATTTTCAAGCACTTTTTAATTCAATGAAATTTCTGTTAAATTAACTTTTATAATTTTTCATACTATTATACTATTTCTATAAAGATAGAATCGGAAAGTTTTGAAATTTTATTATTTTAATTAGTTGATATAAATGTACAATTTATATAAAAATGCTTTTATAATAATTATACATTATTATGCAGCTTCATTTGATTTCTTAAATATATTAATTAAGTTTCTTAAGTATATTTAAAAATTATAGAATATCTAAGTATATTTAATTTTTAATTAATAAACTAATATTTCGTACATTATTAAATATCGTAAAGTTTTCTATCGGTTTTTATTAAATTTTTGTTTAAAAATTTTAATCATAATTTTAAGATTAAAAGATATTTTTATTGGTAAATTTATAAAAATAAGTTTAGAAGCTTGAGTATGCTATTAGATTATTATGCATTTTAAAGTATATAGTCGATCAATTACCGTGACAATATGTTTGTAAATTATCTATATAACGCAGCTAAGAAAGTGAAAAAATTTGATATATATTTTTATAACTAATCTTATAAACATTGTTAATAGTACAATTTTGATAGAATATTGATAAGAAGATAAGAATAGATAAATTAAAGACTTTTGCTTTACAATGTTAATCATGTAATTATTATTGGTAAAACTATAATTTGGAAAATTTGTATCGACGAAGAATTTGATGTTAATCAATAATCAACGTTAACATTTTTTTTTATCTAAACCATTGTTTACATATTCAAACTGCTAGACATCTGCAAATTATTTTACACGTGTAATGGTAATCATAGAAACAATTTGTATAATTAATAAAAAGCACAGTATTTGAAAATCTAGGAAGGAAGTCTATTTTAGTTAATTACTTTAATAATTTTAATTCAAGCTATCAATATGCAATATATTCAAGTTTGTTTAATTATATTTCAAATTAATTAATTTTAATGTCCAAGTCCCAAGGTAACGAGATTGATTAAAAGAGAAAAAAAAGAATGAAAAGTAAATAAATAGTTCTTGTAATAATAATTATGTGAAATTAGTTCTGGCATTCATACAATTTATTACTGAAATAAAATTATCAAAATACTGTTAATAATAATAATAATAATAACGTAACTTAATTTATAACATATATAATCTTTCTAAATGTTTCACGTGTTTTAATTATATATCTTGAGCTTACCAGTCATGTTGAGATGCAGAATTCCTTCTAAATATTTGCCTACGCGAATCCATTTATATTGTCCGGCAGACGTTTGTTTAAAGTGGATTATATTATATCTCGCTGGTCCATCGCCATTATTATCGAATTTGAATCTGTCACCGCTGAGTCCTTAAATATTTAAGATTTATCCTAAAGATTATTACATTCTAAAATTTTATATATTTCATTGATTGCTCGCCTTCGATAATCGAAATATTTTGAAAGAACTTTTTTAATAATAGTGCAGTGATCAATGTACCTTGAAAATCTACTTTTCGAAGATATTTTAAAAGCTCCTCTCCTTTTGTCGGCTTCATGTCATCGCACAATCCTACTTGTCCATGGCACAGATCCCTATGCATGTCCCTATTAATGTAAATTAATACGGAGACAAGTAGCTTTAATAATTTGAATTGGTAAACAGAATAATAAACATTAAAAGATAATTTACCGAAATGCATAAGCGAATGCCATAACTGCATCGGATACGAATTGCAATTGATTTTCAAAGGCCATGTCGCCCTTATTCAAGCGTTCTTTAGTAGTACAGTAATTCTCGTATTTATTGTATGGAGTTAATGTTGAATTAGGATAGCGACATTTAAAATGATCTTCCCAAAATTCTGAAACGTGGATAGAACATTATTTTGCATGAATTATCCGTTTGTTTTCTATTAAATCACACACGTTGTTATCAAATTACTATTGACAATATTATTATTGAAAATAATTTTCCAATCCATATAACGTGTTATGAGATATGTTTTTATCGTATTCATTAGATTATCGCTGATTTTCAAATAAACGTGCAAGCAAGCTCTTTACGAGAATTGAATTCAAATACATTTGTAGTCATTGTAATAATTACATAAGCGTGAATGAAATTCGGCCAAGATTGCTCGTAAACTTTTTATTCAAGCATTGTATATTATTAATATGCATAAGGAACAAGGATAAAGTGCATTTTCTGTATTGAATATTATAGGATATATAGAACGTAACCAAGTGCTTCAACGTTAAAGTATTTTTTAATTGTGATTATAGAACTGTTTCAAAAAGATAGGATTTCATGTGCACGAGCGTGGGCTTGACACGTTCCTAGTGCATCGACAAAAATTTCATTTGACAACTAATAAGACTCGCGATTGTGAAAATATGAGAGAAGAGCCACGTCATTACTAGCCGTAGATACGTGAAAGTGGAGAGGAAGAACTATTGACTTGAAACCGGGGTAACTTGAAACATTATTGTCGTTATGAAAGAAGCAGAGCGAATCAGGTTACATCGACGCTGAATACACGGAAATACATTCCCGCAATGAAAGTAGCTACTGCTCTCATACTCTTCTCTATGACGATTTATCTAAGCAAACTTTTTCTTCTTGCTCAGCGACCCACGACATTTTCATCTTAGTATTTTGCACCTTTCACGAGCTTTTAAAATTTACTGGTGAAATCCTAGTGCCTTTCATTTTCAATGTGCTTAATCGGTGATCTGCATAAGCTTTGTTTTTGGGATGGAACGATTTTTTTATTAAAATAGATAACATATTTTCTCTCTCTCTCTGTGCGCGCGCGCGCGTGTGTACATCCGTCCGTGCGTGCGTGCGTACGTGCGTGTGTTTTATAGATGTAATTGAAATATAATTGAGATTAGCTTTGTACTGCTTGTTAGTAATTTCTCGAGACACTGCAAAAAATTGAATGCTAGTTTAGGGTTCTCACGTTTTCAATTATGGCGGGACTAGAATATAAATTATTTTGTGCTGTAAAATATTATATTAATTATTTATAGAATTAGATGACTTATTTAGTAAGATTATATTTGAAATATGAACGAAAATTGATGAAAGTCAAGTAAATACGAATTTAATTTATATCAAATCATTTCAATAGATTAAACTATAAAAAGTTTTTTACGTGTAATTTAAAAATGTATTTTACAATTCAATTAGCTGAAAGTCTAATTGAGAAATCTTAATCATAAGGTATTTTCTTACTGTGTTTACGAAAATACATGACAGGAACATTCAATTCACTAGGAATCTTAATAGTTCACTCCATTGTGTAAATAATATTTTTCAATAAATTGCCAAAATTTGCTGGAATAGAAGTTCATTGCTTCGCAATGAGTTTTAAATTTGATTATTCGATTGAAGAAATGAAGTTATGAATCGTAAAGAAAGTATAAAATTTAAATTATAGATAAAGATTAATTACGAATTAGACAGAGTAATCCTGAAATGTTTGAAATTAGAGCGATTTCATTAAAGCAGACATGTCGCAGTTCTTTTGTATTGTACAATATTTCATTTCAGAGCAAATCATGAAAAAGAGAAAATCGCGGGTTCGCTAGCCTCATACGACAATAACGGACGTCGTATAATTCTCTTGTTAAAATCCCAGAGCGACAAAAGTCAATAAACTATATCCGACGGAACGGGTTCATGTACCGAGTATTAATTAAAGTTGTTTCTAATTACATGCTTCTCCCGATGAGATATTCAATTAAAACTCCAAGCTTATGGACAACTCTTAAAGATTTCGTTTTATGTTAAAAAATTTAATTTAAAATTTTTAAGTTTATAGAAATAATTTTAAAGCTATTGAAATGTATTTAGCCGCAATAATAGAATTTTTAATAGGGCAAGAGGATTTTTGAATTATTAAAAATTTTCGAGATAAAGATTTTCCTTAAACCTCTCTCAACTGAATGTTACAAAGCTTAAGCTGTAAAGAAGATTCAGATTAGTGGATCATTTTTGCGGTTATACCACGTAACATGAGTTGTTCTTTTTTGTCTTATAAATTTATGTTTAAGTCACTTTGGGTTTATCAAATGATGTCATGCTATACTCGATTAAAAGCGAAATAAATAATATTATACGCATTTATTTATAATTTCTGTCTTTTTACGATATTAAGCGCCTAATTATAATAAATTTTTCCTACAATATGTGAGATTTTAGGTTGCATCATAATTAAACACGAAAGATAAATTAAATAATAAGCTCGATTTATGGTATTTATTATAACGCGTTGCGCTGAATTCGAAATGATCCTTTTAATTATTAAGGTAATAGTGATGTAGTTAGTAGCTTTTATTTTATAAAACACAAGTTCAACATCAAATTGAATTTACAATTCATAGTGCGAAATTTCTTTGTCTTAAAATTAGTCATACTAAAACGAGTGTGATAACTTTGAGTCTGTTTATTCTAACTCTGAAACTTCTTTTCCAGTATTAACGAATGAAACGCACTATATTGCTAACCACGTAGACGTCTGAAGTAAAACAAAAACAAACAACAACAAAAAAAAAAACCAAAAAAACAACACGAAACAAAACAAAAAGATAAAACAAAGTATTTATAATTTCGGATAACAGCAGGTTAGACAAAAAGAATATTTAAAATAAAAATGTGAAATATTATTGCGTTATTAGAATTAACAAAGAGCCACAGTCTCATTTACCTTAAAGAGTAGCGGTTGCGCAAGAAAAAGAACGTTTAATAAAAGTAATATAATATTAAGCACTGATATTCTAATATTTGCAGATATTATTTAATTTAATTAGACGCCATTAATCCGCCAACTGCTAACCAATTACTAATTGACAAAAACTAATTGACAATACAATGTCATAATATTAATTGATAAAATTCACCTCTCACAAACTTCGTCACACCGTTCAAAATCTCGTTTTTCATTTTTCAAATTAAAGTTTTCAAAGAATCGAGCCGATAACTTCATTAGTCGATTGCGTCGTTATCACGCAACCCAACATATTCTCATTGAAATTAACATTTGTTAACGATAAGCAGACGAGAGTATTGGCCGTAGTATTGTCTTACAAGACATTCCTATCGTCAAGGCGGGCGAGGCTGACGTAAAGTCTAGATCGGTAATATATTCCGAGAAGTCGGGAGCTCGCTAAGGGTGATTCCGTCACCAATTGACAGACAGTCCGATAGAATAAGAAGTGACAACGAATATCTAGTCCAAACGTATTTTATTAAAGGGGAGGATCGTCGCGTCAGTCACTCACCCACGAACCAGGGATTCCTCTTATTATTTTCGACCGTGAGATTCAAGAAGTACTCCTCGAAGCCCTCGACCGGATTGGCCTGCGGTTGGACGGAGAGGGTACCCTCGACCTCGGCCTCGTTGCCGTCGCTCACCAGACCTCGGGCGCTCCAGCCGTCGCTCCCAATCCAAGAGAACGCGCCCGTCGCGTTGCAACGTCTAACGGCCTTCATCAGGCCGGCGACTTCCTGGTCGGAGCCGTAAATAATGCAGCCTGCAATGGACGAAGACGACACGTCAATGGACTCCCATCATTCGATCAATTTTTCTTAGCTCCGACAGATGTGGTTCGCGTTAACTTTAACCCACTTAGTTTTATCGTCAAACTTCGCGTTAGTTTTCAGTACCAATCCCGTTAAACACCGTTAATCATCTCTCTCTCTCTCTCTCTCTCTCTCT